GAGACACTTGGCTTGCCATATAACTTGAGGGCCCTCTAGTGGCTGAAAATGTTATTGTTCAATAGTTTCCATGTCAGAATGAATGAAATCATCAGATCTCAGCCAAAAGCTGGGTTATAAATATGGGGGGAAATAAGTCGCTTCTCCATATAATTCGCAGGGCACTCCTTCAAATGTATACAAAAAGGTGTGACTTATATGGCGAAAAGTACGGTAATTGTTTTCATACGCTATCTTTATTTCTATTTTCAAACACAGCTATTATTCTAAATTGTCACCTGTGTTTTTGAGCGAGGTGAACAAGTCCATCAGATTTGTACAAAGGCACAGTGAAGTGAGATTTCACTGATGCACTCAAATGAAATTGCGGGAATCAATAGCATCTACAAATTTGCCTGCAGAAGCTTTTTATTTTTTGGTTCTGTCTCTGTCGTGTTGGCAGATTGGAAAACGCGTTTGAAGTTACAAACCTCACCTGTAGAGTGGCCGTCTGCTTTTGCATTGTGTCTTTTGTGTTAATCTTTCTAGGATGCTTTTTAGTTTGAAGACTTCCACTTTGAGCCCACAGTGGGTTTATTTTATTTTATTTTTGTTAGATGGTTTATGACCCAGATACTTGAAAATGCAAGTCACTGCTGTTCTTTCAGGTGACTGTGATACATTTAGGGAGAATGTAGCTCTGCTCGTGTCACAACACAACTTTCACCTCTTAGAAGAAAACGGCACATACAGTAATTCAGGCTTCTTCTTGTGTAAACCTTGACTGTAACCTGTTTTATAAAAGCGCCAAATTAACCTCAGGTGCAGTGAGTCATAGCTTATGGTGATTTACAGTAATTAACATGTGGGGTGGGGGGGTGATGTAATGCTGAAACCTCGGGCAACAGTTTGAGCACAGACAGGTTCACTCCAGATTTTTCCCCTTGTGTTGATATACCGTCAGTTTTCGTGTCACCTGCATCTACAACCGTTGATTTAACAGAAACTTTGGATTTACAAGAAAGGACGAACGTGTTAACACCTGCTGGACTAGACGTTATGGAGAATGTGTGCAAAGAGAACTTCATGTTGCCCTTTGAGGATTGTGACTCGGATTAAACAGACGTGGAAATGTATTTTTGAAGACAGTAATGAAACGATGGGGTACTCGTCGTGGGATGGTCATTCCTGAAAATAAAATATTTAACTGAGACTTGAACGCGCCACGTTTCCCTAAACTGTCAAGCAAAACCAAATAAAATATAAGATTTTCTGCAGAACTCATTAAGTAATAAAATAAAAACCTTCAAAGATTCAAATCTATTAATTTGTTAATATCTATTAATTTTTGTCGAGTTGAGGCGGTTCTTTTCGTCCTAAACATGTCATTACATTGTTGATCTTGTGTTGATTTAGCATATGACAAAATAAAACTACACTAACCTAATCTAATCTATTTATCAGTTTAAAGCTGGGTGGAACTCCCCAGCATGGACTAAAACCAAAAACACTTCTCGCTGGGTCAGGTGGGGCAACTGTCCGTGCTCTGGCTCCATTTATTTCTGATTTTAGCTATTTAGCTCTAATTACATTTCAAAGGCGCAAAGGTCTGGAGCTCTGACACTCAGCAACAAAAATGTCCTGAACCTCCACTGTCAACATCCGAAACTGACCTGTTCCCACGGCAACCTCACCACCAGAGACAGGAATGTCTGGCCTGAGTTCAGAACCAGCAAGGCTGTAGAACTGTATGAGTCCTGTCACAGAGTGCTGTTCTAGTTTCAACAAAAACACACATGCGCATACATGTGCACAGAGACATAAAACCAAAGGCCTATCTCTGTTTGTGCTACACTAATGGACCCGATTTATGGGGTTACTAGGGGGCTGTTGGGCAGAGAAAAAGTGGAAGTTAAAGTGTTGGAGATGTTTCTGTGCAGAGCTGCAGCTCCACTGGGAACATGACTGTTGGGTGAGCACTGATGAAACGAATGCATGAATTTTAGATGTTGCTCCTACCAGAGGTGTTCTCACACAGAAACGTTGTCCTGACCTGTTTTTCTTAAAAATAGAATGGAAAATTACTCTGATGAGCTACAGTTTCACTGTAGACCTGTTTATGGATGGTTGTTGACACAAAAGAAAAATATTTTTATGCATCCATCAAGTCTATATGAAAGATACATCTGATCATATGCACATACATATATATATATATATATATATATATATATAT